TTTTTGGCGGATCCGGGCTGGGGATTCGAACCCGCCACCTTAGGTGTATGTGGCTGGCGCCTTAGCCGGTTGAGCTATAGGCGCCGAGCCTGTGCTTCCACTTTTATCACAAAATGGGTCACAGAAAAGAGTGAAGCCTCAGGGCTGGGCAGGATCGCAGGTGGCTGGGCTTAGGGAGGAGGCTTCCCAGGTCTTGAAGGGCCTGCCTGTGAGGAAGTCTCAGACCCCGGGTAGTCTCCCTGTGGAGGGGCATGCAGACCTTTCCTCCATACCCGCTCCATCTGGAAGTCCAGCTCAGCCAGGGATGGCCTTCACCTGGCTGGCAGGTTTGGTCCCTGTCTCCAGCACACCTGGCACACTGGGCCAGCTGGCAGAAACTCTCAGTCCGAGGCCAGGAGGCTACTGCTGTTCCAGAGTTCTGAAGGTCCCACCTGACCACAGAGCTCAGGTGTGGATAAGGGTGTCTCCTCCATGGGGGCCCTGTGCCTCCTTGTGGCAAATCCTCCTGGACACAGTGAGTCCTGAAGCCCCGAAGGATGCTGGCCTCTCTACTGTGAGGGACCTTTTCAGATGAGCCAGCTAGAGACTTACCCAAGGCCACTGGGTAAAGTTTCCCAGAGGCCCGACTGGAGCCAGCTGAGCCCACTCCTGGGTGGATGTTTTCCCTCCACTTTTTCCTACTGGGAACATCCTACCCTCGTGGTTACATTCTTCAGCAGAGCCTTGGGCAGCTGCATGGTCCCAGCCCCGCTTCCAGGTCTGAGTTCTGTGGTCGAATGCCCAGGGCTCAGGCCGGCAGACCACTCTGCTGCCTGCTGCCTGCTGCCTGCTGCCTGCTGCCTGCTGCTGCCAGGTGCTGTGGCCCCCCTTCCAGGGGGAAGGGGCTGAGCTGGGACCGTGTGTCCTCCTGTGCTAGTACATACAGGGAAGGGATGTTCTGCCAGTTCCAAGGTGCCCTCTGTTCCCAGTGGAGGAGGAATAGCTGTTGGCATGCCTGAAACAGACCCTTCTTACCTCTCTATCCTCACCTGAACCCCTCCTCCTAGGGACATGCCAGAAACCTCATTGTCACCCCTCCCTGTCCCCCATCACTCCCATTCCATGCTGCACAAATCGAAGGTGTCACTGCTTGAAAAGCCCCCACACTGTGCAGGGAGTTTCTGTGTGAATAGACCAGCGACAGGGAGCTCACGTGGAGCTCAGTATTTACTCACTGAGATTAGATGTTTTAGGAGCCCAGAATGTTCTTGACAAACAATTTGCCCTATTGAGGGGAAGTTTTCTGGACTGGGATTCCAGATGTCCTGCAAGTCCCCTCCTAGCTGGGGTTCAGGTGCTCCGTTTGCTCCTGACTGCAGGCGGGGCTTGGGTGACTCTGGTCCCCACCTTGGGCACAGTCATTCCTCGGAATGCTGTGCTGTTCCCACGTGACCTCGTTCCTTCGGCAGTGGGGCCAGGTGTTGCCTGACCTGACCTTTATCTAAATGAGATCACGTGCAGGTTCCACTGAGCTGTGGCATGTTCATCCTGGTGCCATGTGTCCTCTGTGAACACACCTCTTTCTGCCTGTCCTTCAGAGGGGAGACGTGGTGGAGGGGGGGCTGGTTGACCATTCTGCACAGACTGCCAGGAACAATGTGGTCCATGTCTCTTGGACATGTGGTGTGAGTCCTTCTGGGGGCAGATCTGCTCCACAGGTGGCAGGGCTGGGTGACAGAGGATGCCTGTGTTCACTGTGACCAGACAATGCCAGCCGGGTTTACACCCCCACCACAGTGGACAGACCCCTGCTGTACTGTAGACTATCCCAGCCACCACCTGGCCATTGTGGGAGGGAAGCCCGTGCTCTTCTGTGCTTGCCATCCTAAAGGGTCTCAGGACACGGTCAGCCC